TCCAGTGGTTTTCGAGTTCTGTCAATCCCACAAACGAACATGACATTTTTATTTAGATAGATAGATAGATAGATAGATAGATAGATAGATAGATTAGATTAGCTGGGGTGGTCCATGCCTTGGTCACCTCTAGATTGGACTACTGTAATGCGCTCTACGTGGGGCTGCCCTTGAAAACGGCTCAGAAACTCCGACTGGTCCAACGGGCGGCGGCCAGGTTGTTAACTGGTGTCCCTTACAGAATACAGAGAGGTCAACCCTCCTGTTCAAGGAGCTCCATTGGCTGCCATTCATTTTCTGGTCCCAATTCAAGGTGCAGGTGCTTACCTACAAAGCCCTAAACGGTTTGGGGACAGCCTACCTGTGTGACCGCATCTCCATTTATTTATTTATTTATTTATTTATTGACTTTGCTTCTATACGGCTGTATCTCAAGCCCGAAGGCGACTCACGGCGGTTGACAAACAGTAGAAACAGTAGAAACAGCAGTGGTTCCATACAACATATAACAATTGACTTCACACATGATCCATAAATTACCAATAAGCAATTACAATGCACAATTATTACAAACAACAACCGCACCCAATCTTCTCATCATCCAAGCGCAGTCCAGGTTCGTCGTCCCTGGTTCCCTTCCTATGTTCCATTACCAGATGGCACTCATTTATGAACCCACGCACTCGCTTCGTTCATCCGGAGAGGCCCTGCTCGTGATTCTCGAATGTCAAAGGACATTTAATCAACTACCAAACACACAAATTTTGTGTTTTGTCTGTTTGTTTGCTTTGTTCTGTTAGAAATGTAATATAATTGACAGGTTGCCCTGACACGAGAAATAAATAATTATGAATACATAGGAAAACATCTTAATCACCTGGAGAGTCCGCGTGTTCCGGTCCTCTCTCCCGTGACCTTGTAAGGCTGGTCGGCAGATCTGATCACGCAGGAAAAATCAATACACGCTGTTCTGTTGAAACTTTCCACAAAGAAACCCTTCCAGAAAAAAAATCAGGTATAGTAAAAGGTTTATATGTTAACTTTAATATTGTAATATTAATATCACATATATATATATCTATACACATAATAAAAGTGAAAATGTGCGTATATGGAGGAGGTCTCCACTGACACCGACAGTCTCCTGAATCCATGCACAGACTATAGTTCCAAGTGCTGAGAATCCTCCGAAGGCACTCACTCAACCAACATTGCAGGTTATAGTGAGCGCGGTGAACATGCCGCCCAACCCCTGCCAATGTCCTCTCCAAACACCAGCCTCCCAAGGAATGTTTTCATTTGGGAGCCATTGCA